AGATAACAAAATTTCATTTATTAAATTACGCACTAAATTATGATGATCATGATTTTCCGAGTTCAACAAAGTTAGCATCATCGGTGTATTTGGAAATAAAATATTATAGGAGCAACTTAATTTAGATATTCTCATTCTTAATTCATACGCAGCTAAGGGTAGTAAATACAATCCGATTGAAAGAATGTTATCGTATTTATCCAAACAATTAACCAGTGTTGTATTGAATAGTAATATATCAAATAGAACAGGTGAACAAAATAATTTAGCTAATGCAGTTACAATCTTATGTTCATACTGAGATAAAAAGTTTTATGATTTGTATCAGATATCATGTAGACCAGTTATTTCACATTCAATACTGCTTTATGATGGGCACAGTGACATAACTAATTTACTAAAGACAGAGAAATAGTTAAAGATAGAAAATAGTCAAACTAAAAGTATTCACGAGAAACCGCAATTTTTTATGAAACATTGTCGCCTAGTAAATATTTAATATTATTTATAAAATGCGATGATTCAAACTGTTACCACTGTTAAAACAAACCCATATTGCACAGAAAACAGTTCAACTGATACGATGAGCTGATTATTGTTTTCTTGTATCAGAAAAGAGTATATTAGATTCAAAAACATACATTAGAAAGTTGTCAGTCTATTTAGTCAAGAGATAAAAACGTACAACCTGACTATAATCTAAAAACAAAAAAAAAGGAAAAATTCTCACAATATTTTAGTATATGTAATCATCATTATGTGCATAGTTCTAAAATAGACGTTAAAAGATATTTATCATGGATCCATTAATTATATACATTGTTGAGCGGTGTATGGAACCTGTTTGGTATATTTATGTGTATGTTTGTTCCTTTCCTTATAAAATATATCTGAAAATATGATTGAGGATCTCATGTTTCTTTTCGTTTCAATAGGGTTGTTCGCCAAAGTTGACCGAATCGACGATCGGGGCTGTCGGCGCGTCATCTACTGCAAAAGAACGAAAGCATGTGCGGTTCTCACGGTTGCTTGAATTTGTAGTTGACACTATCCAGTATTTAAGACAAAGTTGATTAGTCTAAGTCATATGTCATTACGAAGTTACACGTGGTTTAAGTTGACAATTTTTCAAGGTGGCGGAATATTCGTTTTTTGGGGCTTTTCGTAAAAATTGAATATCTCAGCAGCACAACAACTTTAAGACCTCCGGTTTTCATCAAAATTTATGAAAATGTTTGCTCTAGACAAATCTCCTACTTTGGAAGAAATATGAGGTGGTCGATTGAGCACGTTAGGTCGTGGCTTATCTTTAATGGCTCTTAGACACCAAAGGCGCTGTGAACATAACGCAAAGAGAGAACGAAGAGTTGCTATATCAACTCTTCTGTGTGTTCACAGTGTCTTTTTGTGTGTAAACAGAACGAGTGGAGAACATACTCACAGAGAAGGAAAAATGGCGTGTTTCATATATTTCACACTATATAACAGAGAAAAAACGTTAAAAAGAAAAAAAATTTCTATGGAAAAGAAAAGAAATGAGTTTTGTCACAGTTCTAGTAAAAAGAAAAATACTTGAAGAGAGAAAATCGTACCGTATATAAATAAATTATACCGTTCAGTTTAAAAGAAAACCTTCTGTTTTCTGTATATATCCTTGACAGTGATTTTTTAAGAAATCGAAACGTTGGAAGATGAAATCCGCTGCTTTAGTTATACTTTTCTTAATGAAAACTCTACCAGTTACAAACAAAAGTGATAGTACAACTATAGCACGCGAACTTTCTCTTATACTTTAAGGCCTTAAAGTCAGTTTTAATCTGCGATGGAATCCTTTCTGTACAGGACACCTCGCGATTGAAATTCGCTCCCCAACACTGTTGCTACCTCGTCTACAATTAAAACTTTCAAAACAAAACTGAGGCAGTGCCTACAGATGTAAAACAATAGGAAGAAAAAAAAAGGATAAAAAGGTAGCAATTTTTATACATGTTTACAGTTTTTTTGCTTTTCTGACAACGTGTTTATGTATAGTAAGGCTTCTTGTATTATAATAAGGTTTATTCATTTTTACGTACAAAAGTGCTGCTGTCGAAATAAAAATCAATCAAACCGCATGAAAGATGAAAAGAGAATTGGAGCTCATCACTTTTCACAATTCTGTCGGTGTTGATCAGAGTAAGTCGTTTGCAATTAGAGATTGTAATTCAAGCATAATTCAAGCAGGGCTGGTCGGAAGAGGTTCGAGTTGCGAGGTATCAATGGAGGACCGATGACTTGAAGGGGTGGTCATCATTTGAGTCAAAATTTCCCACGATTGGAGGGAGCTACCACTCCCAATCCAGTCGCTATGACCAGTCCTACATTCAAGTACTGCTTTCTCGTAACTAGCAAGACAACAGCCAGAAATGAATCTCTTTTCAGCATTTGAAAGTTAGAAAGGACAGGAGCATATAAGATGACCAATCGGTCCCTAAGGATTTTTGATTCGAAACTTCAACGTCTTATATAGAGTGAAAGAGCTCGCCGAGGTGAGATTTTTTTGTACCGAAACTTAATATTTCAGAAGCGATCATGAGGGGTTCTAGTCAAGTCGTCTTTCAAAATAACCCAAAATTTACACGTTGACTCGGCCAGAACTTCTCACGATCGCATTTAAAGTACCAAGTTTCTGGACAAAGAAGGCTCAACTCGTCGAGCTCTTTCACCCTGGGGTTTTAAAGCAAACATGTTTTTGGGGACCGGCTGGTCACCTTATACGCGGCCGCCTTTTGTTCTGAGAAAGTGATTTATCTTATTCAGGCTTTAGTATTTGACAGGGATTCGACAACATTGTTTTACTCATTGATAAAGCAATGTTCGTCATCATCCGGGATACTGAGCGATCTTTTCTTACAAGGCACAACTATTCAATTCTACCACATCGAAGTACTGTTTTTGGAAAGCAACACGTAGAAAGAAAGTAGTCCAAACTATTGCGTTCTCCATCACAAACAACGGGCCGATCCACTCGTTTTTGCGTCGAGGATTCGATGTCATTGTTTGCTTCAAAGAGATGTTAACTGCGACGTTTATGCATGGTCGCTAGCCAACCTGCATTAAACGCTTTAGTCGTTATTCGATCTCTTGAAAATTATGTAAAAAATTGGCGCTGACGTTGCTTCCTGCACTCAAAACTGAGATTGTTATCTAATAACGTTTTGTGATTTACCACCTAAAATCATAGGAAAAAGATCCATCAGGCTATGGGTCTTCACGTTGCCCTCACTTAAATCACCGTGTAACTAGCTGTAAGCAAACTAAATATCAGGAAAAGCACATTGAAACGTTTTTACTTTCGAACTATAGAAGCGGCAGATAGGTTCCGAAGAATTTTTTAGAAAGTGAGCGTGGGAACAAATTCTAGGGCTAAGGAGAAACTTTCCAAAACATAACAAATCAGTGGAACAAAGTGGCAATATTTCATAGAAGAGAAAACTTGAAAATTCTCTATTGTAATGCATTTTCAGGAGAGAATGTTTGAACTTCGCAAGAAAAAAGGATTTTTTCCGACACTACTAAATTATTCTTTTCTCGTTTACCCAAAAATTAAGGCATCACCGATCGGCTATTTCGTCAAGGAATATAATGGTTTACTTCATTTCTCAAGAGAAGAGCACGAATATATGTGTCTTGACATTGATTCATTTCCTAGATTCTATAGCTATCAGCATGCCTTCTCTTCCATTACTCCCTATACCTAACGATGCTTGGGTCGATGTACATTGTGGTAATGCAGAATTTGTCGAAATACACTTAGACAAACGGTATTACGTCGGAGAAAATATAACACTTCATCAAGTAGTGCGAACGGAAAACAATCGAATAGGGATTAAAGGAAACTATAAACTTTTCTGGGATCCTGATCAATGTATTGATTTTATCACATCATACGAATGGCGAAAGGTATTCATTTCACTTACTGATGGATTCAGTTATCTACTCCCTTTAATTCATGATCTATCACAAATAGTGTTCATCTATATCTATTCCTCATCGCCGGCGAAGGTGTCCTATTCTAGTGCTGATTATACGAAATTGCGAGCAATTGTCAACGAAAATTCACCTGATACGGATAAGCAATTATTAAGTGATATCGAAATGTTTCGACGCGATTTAATGCCGATTAATGTCATCAATCCTATACGACGAAAAACCAAACTTTTAATTCAAGAACCGTTGCCGGTCGACAAATATTTGGTTGTTTGGATACAAGATGAGGATGATAGTACCCGTCTGGACACATTATCCATAACTGATATAATCAATTATTTGGAAGTATTTTTTAATATAGAGCAATGTATTAATTACATCAAATCATTAGCTGATGATACTAAGATATTCTTCATTTCATCGCATTCCGATACAGAAACGGTATTAAAGGAAGTAGCGCATCTATCGAATGTCATTTCTATTTATCTATTTGACAATTGTCAACAGATCGCAGTCACTTTAAATGATTCAAATATCAAAGTACGTGGTAGATATTCTGACATACAAAGCTTGGCTAATCAATTATTCCAAGAGTACAAAAGCTTCACACATAGTTCGGAAATGTCAGTCAGTGTCTTCGATAGGGAGAAAAACGAAAAGACAGTTCGAGATTTGAGCAAAGAAAGTGCTCGATTTCTATGGTTACAATTGTTAGTTGATATTCTCATAAAAACACCCTATAATGATCAAACGAAAGATGAAATGTTAGATGAGTGTCGAATACATTACAAGGACAGTGCAATTGCACAAAAGGCCATAGAGGAATTCGATAAAACTTACAAATCTACTGAAGCTCTTCAGTTTTATACAAAGGACTCATTTTTGTATCGTCTATTCAATCGAGCGCTACGAACAGAAAATATTGATTTTTTATTCATATTCCGCTTTTTCTTAGCCGATATGTACCATCAATTACAAAAGCTACATTCGGAGCAATTTTCAATCAGTCCAAGATATACTGGTAACATGCCTATTGTTTATCGAGGACAATCGATGACAGTTGCCGAATTCGATCACATCAAGAACAATGTCGGACGTTTAATATCAGTGAGCACATTTTTTTCTACCACAGAAAACTACAATATGGCAGTCATCTATTCGGGTTCGGAAGCGACAAATCGAGAACCTGAATCGGTATCGGTCATATTTGAAATTGAAATGGATCTAATCCATGATGCAACTAAGAGACCATTTGCTTCTATCAAACATTTGAGTCGATTTCCAGAAGAATGTGAAGTACTTTTTTCGGTTGGTTCGACTTTCCGCATTCTCAGTGCTCATGATAAACGAACAAGCGAAGGACACTGGCACGTGAAAATGAAATTGGTCGAAGATGATAACGATATCAGCGAGCTTCGAAACGACCTCGAAATTCAATATTCCCAGCACAATAACTTGTGCGACTTGGGACTTGCTTTGATAGCCATGTGTGATTATGACAGAGCAGAAAGATATTGTCGAAGGCTACTCGAGTATTTACCCGAATCTAATCCATCCATTGGTTATATACACGAATCTCTGGGAGTCATTTTTGCCAATCGAGGAGATTATCGAACAGCATTGAATTTTCAAGAAAAAGCGTTGGAAGTTTGGACGAAATTTGATCTTCTCGGTCAGAATCTAAATAGCCTTAGTAGAACATATGTTCATATTGGTGCAGCTTATCGCCACCTAGGACAATTGGATTTAGCATTGAAATACTGTTTAATGGCTGCAGATATGCAGTCACCTACAGAATCACTGGCATTCGCATATAATGAAATTGCAATCACTCATCGGGACAAAGGTGATAATCGTTTAGCATTAGAATATTTTCTAAAATCGCTACATGTTGAAGAACAAGTTTTGAAACTAACAAAGTATCATCCAAAGTTAGCTACTACATATAATAATATCGGGGAAATCTATGTACATCTGGGTGATGACGAGAATGCTTTAAAATATTTAGAGCATGCATTGAACATACGTCTCAAAGGCACCGTCTCGACACACACCGATCTTGCTGCTACATATCATAATTTAGGAAATGTTTACCAGAGAAAGAGTGAACTAAAGAAAGCTTTAGAAATGTATCAAAAAGCACTGGAAATTGACACTCGAATATTCCATGACAACCATGAATTACTGGCAGGCTCACACAGCGCAATCGCCATGATTCATCGCAGTTTGGGCGATTTAACGAACGCCGTGTACCATGCAGAAAAAGGCTTGAGGATATTGCTACGCTCACAGGCCAAAGATAATCGTTCACTCGTTGTCATGCACCAACAAAACCTTGGATTTATTCAATATCAGCTAGGCAACACCACAAAGGCATTAAAAATGGCAGAGAAGGCGTTACAAACTCAACTAACGTGTGTATCTGAAGCTCAGGGTGCAGTTGCACGTACATATGATTTATTTTCATGCATTTATGAGAAAGAAGGAGACATTTCAAAAGCATTGGAATATTCAGAGAAAGCGGTCGAACAGGCTAAGATTTGGGCCATGCGTAATCGTACGTTCGAATTGGAATATTTCTTATCACGATTGGATACGCTGAAAAACACCTCTTCAAGCGGAGACAGCAAATTTCCAACATCGTTTACATCGGCAAAAGTTTGGTGTGACGATGTCGATGTTCAAGATCATGTCATATCAAAATCCAAGGAAGAGCTTGAACAAACTCCGGCAAATAACATTCTAAAACGGCTTGAATTACTCAACAATTTGATTGTGATGCATTCGAGAAAAAAGAATTTTTCGATGGCATCCAAGTGCTTTGATGAAGCCAATATCATTTACACTGAACATCAAACGTCTGATGTAATAACTAAAGAACAACTCGAAAATGAGATGATAACTGTATTCCACAACACAGCTCTGGTCTATCATCGTCAACAAGATTGGAACATGTGTTCGAACATGTTGGGCAGATCACTCGATCTTGTTCTGCAACAGAAGGAAGAACATCGCATATTACCAGAAATTTACTATTGTATGGCATCATCTTATGCGCATCGACAAGAGATTCACATGGCGATCTATTACTACGAATTGGCTATCAGTACTGCTAGAAAAAGACTACTCGACGATCATCCAGACATGCAACGGTATTGTTTTCAATTGCAGCTATATAAAACTGCATTATCAGAAGCGTATTCTAAAAGACAATTCAATCATTGAGTCTATATGGATCATCTGCAATCGGTTGAAAAATTATTCGAATAAAGGAAGACACAACTCCAAACTGAATCTAGATCATTCGAGCTCACTTCCCATTCGAGATTTGGAAAAACAGTGGAACTGTCTGTTCGCTAATTTTGTGAGCGAGTGAATGTTCAAATCTAATTTTCTAAGTTCTAATGTACTCGATCAATATTGCTGTAAACGGAGGTCAAATCTAGATGATCGGGTGGAAGATATTTTTCTAGAATCTGAAGTGCTTTCTCGTAAAATGATAGAGCAGTAGAGTAGTTTTTCATCATAGAATGTGCGCCACCAATGTTATAATAGATCGTAGCTAGCGAGAATGAGTCCGAATCGTCTTCAACTGTTACTGGTTTTTCATAGAACGAAACGGCTGTCGAATAGTCACCATCGAATCATGCAGAACACCGATATTATTGGAGGTGAAGGATCATTTGACTCTAGAATTCTTTGTTCCGTTTCAAGTGTCGTCTCATAGAATGAGAGAGCAGTCAAATAATCATCCATCGAATCATATAGTCAACAGAGAGGCCACCCTGATAACGGATAACTTGTTATTGTGGGCAAAGCTCCACATGAAGAATGAAAAATTCAGTTTCATGGAACTCAGTGTATATATTATTCAAAAAATTTCAACTTAGCTTTAACTTGCTTAGAAAAAACGTTTTCTCAGAAATCCAGGATCTTCCCAAATCCTACCTTTTAAAAACCCAAGGTAAACGTTTTTTCCATAATTTCGTAAGATAGAACAATGACTTCCCTTCAAAATAAGATATTCCGCAGCTCTCCAGAACCTTGTTTCATTGAGTTATGGCGTTTATACTGCAAGCTCCAAAGCGATAATCAGCCTATCACAGCTCTTTTTTTTTCGTACCGAGACTTCTGCTCGTGAGGCTCTTGGTGTAAACGTCATAACTCAATACAAAAAGGTTGTGAAGAGCTTGATTTGATTCATTTTGATGCGGAATTTTTTGATTCATCGACTCGTTTTGAAGAGAAGTCTTTGCTCTATCTTACGGAATAATGGAGAAAATGTTTGCATTGGGTTTTCAAAAAGTAGGGTTTGGGAAGACTCTGGATTTCTGGGAAAACTTTTTTTTCTAACGAGGGAAGGCCACCAACTGTCTCATCGCTTTTAGCACGAAACCTAGTGGACAATAGGTAATCGAGTGTGCTGAATCCAAATATCACAATGGTTTTTCCTCAAAGTTCTCTGGAGACTCCGGTTTTTGGAAAACCAGCTTTTCAGAAACTCTAAAAGATAACTAAACCCTTTCTTAATGAGGCATGATTGTAGCCTGTGCATTTCTGATTAAAATGAGATATCTCCCAGCTCTAGATGCCCTTTCTTTGCAAAGTTATAGAATTTACAAGAAAAACCCTAAATTAATTTCTTCTTATTTCTATAGCTTTGAGCTGACAATGAACATTTAGGGCTTTTCTTGTAAATTCTATAACTTTGCAAAGAAAGGTCGTGTAGAGCTAGAAAATGTCTCATTTTAATCATTTGCTCATTTGCGTGCTACAATCATGCTTCATTAAGAAAGGTTTTCGTTACTTTTTAGAGTGTCTGAAAAACTGGTTTTCCAGAATATCGCTTTCTGAGCGGCTCCTGGGCAGCTACCACTATGATATTCGGATTCAGCATAGTTGATAACCTATAACCCAATAGGTTTGGCTGAAAAAGCGATGTGACAGTTCGAGTGGCCCCTCGTAAGTTCATTCTCATAGTTCGATAAGTTATTTCATTAATTCGTTAATACATGGGTATCCAATAGGGACGCTCGATCTTTGACATTCTGCTGTGGCAATACTAAAAATCTGTCATCAAAATTTTTTTGACATTTATTGTCAGTTCATTAAACCATTTTATCATGAATAAATACACAATCGAACAACGCGTGCAAATTATTAAAATTTATTATCAAAATAATGAATCTGTGCGAGAAACGTTTCGTGCACTTCGTGAATTTTATGGTCGAAATAATCGTCCTGCAGAAAGCACAATTCGTGGTCTAGTGAATAAATTTGAATCAAGTGGTACTGTTACTGATACGAAAGTGCCAGTAAGACAAAGAAATGCACGTAGTGAAGCCAATATTGCTGCTGTTAATGAAAGTGTTCGTGAGAACTCAAATTTGTCAATTCCTCGTCGATCTCAGGAATTAGGCATTTCTCAAACATCAACATGGCGTATTTTGCGTAAAGATTTGGGTTTACATCCATATAAGATTCCGTTGACTCAAGAACTAAAGCCAAATGACCATTCATTGCGTCGCAGATTCGCTGATTGGGCTTCAGAGCAGCTTGAAGTTGATGCAAATCTTGGCAAAAAAATCATCTTCAGTGACGAAGCACATTTCTGGTTGAATGGCTTTGTTAACAAACAAAACTGCAGAATTTGGAGTGAAAGCAATCCACAAAAAATTCAACAATTGCCAATGCATCCAGAAAAATTGACTGTTTGGTGTGGTTTATGGTCTGGTGGCATCATTGGTCCATTTTTCTTCAAAAATGATGCAGGATCCACAGTTACTGTCAATGGAATTCGTTACAGAGCAATGATCAATCAATTTTTGTTTCCTGATGATTGTTCAATGTTTGTTGTATATTGATGCAGACGACATTTGGTTTCAACAAGACGGTGCCACATGCCATACAGCTCATGAAACAATCAATTTATTGAAGGAGAAGTTTGGTGAATCGATTATTTCGAGAAAAGGACCAGTCAATTGGCCACCAGGATCATGCGATTTAACACCGTTAGACTTTTTTTTATGGGGTTATGTGAAGTCATTGTGCTATGCCAACAAACCACAAACAATTAATGCATTGCAAGACAACATTGAACGTGTTATCGCTGAAATACAGCCTGATTTATGTGAAAGAGTCATCGAAAATTGGGTCCAAAGAATCCATGCTATGAAACGAAGCCGTGGCGGTCATCTGAATGATGTTATATTCCATACTTAATGGTATCAAATATACTTTACATTGAATAAAAAAACTCATTGAAAGGATACCGCCGGTTTATTTTTTTTCATCCGTTTATCATCAAATCATATGTGTAGATAGTACTCGTCAAGGCGCATCCAACGGTATGTCGTTTTAGTCTGGGAAATCATTCCATCAAAAGTTATT